GAGTGATGCTGGAGGGTCTGCTTCCAAGGATACCTGGCTGCACGCTGCTGCTGGCTCCTGGCCCCAGGTGGAGGCCTTTGCTCTCCATGTGACCTCTGCACACAGTGGCTCAACTTCAGCACACAAAGGCGTCCCCCTGAGAAAGTGACCCAAGCTTCCGTGGCCCTTGATGGCCTAGCCTCAGAAGCCACATACTGTCACCTGTCTAGCATTCTTCTGCTCAGAAATCAGCCCTGATTCAATGTGGGGGAGACTCCATGAGGGCAAAAATACTGGGAGGTGAGGACCCCTGGGGCCACCTTGGCTGCTGCCTAGCACAGTCACCAGTGAAACCTGCAAGGCCAAATCCAATGGCCCTGATTGTTTTTGGTTTGTTTTCCCCTTTCAGGAGCATGTGATGTTCTCCTTAACAAACTTTTTTTTTTTTTCCTAAGAGACAGGGCCTCTCTCTGACACTCAGGCTGGAGTGCAGTGGCACAATCATAGCTCACTGCAGCCTCCAACACCTGGGCTCATGAGATCCTCCTGCCTCAGCCTCCTGAGAAGCTGGGACTACAGGGGCATGCCACCAAGCCCCACTTTGTTGTTGTTGTTGTTGTTGTTGTTGTTAGAGATACGGTCTTGATATGCTGCCTAGCTGGTCTTGAACTCCTGGCCTCAGGCAATCCTTCTGCCTCAGCCTCCCAAAGTGCTGGGATTATAGGCATGAGCCACCGCTCTCAGCCTTAACAAACTTTATTGCTCCAGTTTTCTCATTGGAATAAAATAAATTAAGCATTATACTAAAAACAAGCATAAAGATAAGAAAATAGGCATTACACGATTTCTTTCTCCTGGTACCTCTCAGGCTTTGCCTTCTCTGACCCTCCCCTGCCCCTCTTTATTCTTTTGCTTCCTTAACGGGGCCTTTGCACGAGGCGATGTCCTGTCACTGCCTTCCCTCCACTCCTCCTCAAGCCCATTCACTGGTATATGTGCATCAATTCCATGCAAGTGGCAGCCACATCCTCCAGCCCCACCTCTCTCCAGGCTCCAGTTCCACATTTCCATCATTGCATTAGATATTCCACCTCCATAAAACCGTGAGAGCTTTGCTGAGGTTCCTAAGAAAGGTTCTCCAGTCTTCTGAATGCCAGCCTGGAAACAGCCATCCCCCTGCTCGTCTAGACAGCGATTCTCAACTGGGAGTGATTTTGTCACAACTGAAGAGTGGGGGCTGCCACCAGCACCTAGCAGGTGCAGTCCAAGAATGAAATGACCTGCAATTCACAGGACAGCCTCTCACAACAAAGCATGATCTGGTCCCAGCTGTCAATCACACTGATGTTAAAAACCCTCCTCCAGAGCTCATGGTGTTCAGATGTGAGTGCAAGAACAGCTACAGCCATTTTGCCATCATGAGAGAAGCAGCCTGAGAATGGGGCCCACGGAGGTGCTGGATTCAGTTCATCCCCCAGACCCTCTGTTCCTGTGGCTCTCAGCCACATGGGCCAATATACTTCCTCATAGCTAAGAGTGGCTTCAGTTAGGGACTCTGATTTGCAGCCAAAAGATTCCAGCCAGCCACAGCTCCCAACAGAATGTTCTCCCTTCTCTAAACATTTGGAGAACTTTCTGGCTGTCCCGCGGTCCTCACCAGCATGCTACCTTTTATTATAGTTCCCGAATGTCCTCTTAACTCTTCTGACCAGGAATGTACCTTTCTATCCCTGAAATCTAGTAAGAAAAACAGATGGCCGGGCATGGTGGCTCAGGCCTGTAATCCCAGCACTTTGGGAGTCGAGAAGGGCGGATCACGAAGTCAGGAGTTTGAGACCAGCCAGACCAACACAGTGAAACCTCATCTCTACTAAAAATACAAAAAGTAGCCGGGCGTGGTGGTGCACATCTGTAATCACAGCTACTCAGGAGGCTGAGGCAGAAAAATCACTTGAAGCTGGGAAGTGAAGGTTGCAGTGAGCCGTGATCATGCCACTGCACTCCAGACTGGGTGACAGAATAAGACTCTATGTCAGAAAAAAAAACAAAAACAGTTGACTGGTCAGACATTCTCTATATGCTGAGTGAATTAGTCAACTCAGCATTATCCCTTTACATGCATTCTTTCAAGTAATCTTTACAACAACCCTATGACATAGGTACCATGATCCTCAATTTACACAGAGGAACCTGAGGCACAGAGAGACTGAATAACTTGTCCCTGGTCACACAGCTGGCAGATGGGGAAACTGAGATCCAAATCAGAGCCCATGTGGGATATGCTGCATCTTGGCAAACACACCTTGTATTCCAAAGTCCTTGTTATGTGCAGAAATGAATGAATGAATGCAGCGAGATTTCCTTGTATGGGGATTTACAGATGTTAAACTATGTAGCTGGTTGGCAAGAACAAGTTGCTGCCCTCGTTTTCAGAGAGTTTAGGAGAAGCAGCGGGTGAGTGCAGCAGGGGTTGGGTGTCCAATTATGAAGCTAGGCAGGCCTGGGTTAGTCGTGGAGTCCATGCAGGGCCATGGAAAAGGTATTTGGCCTCTCCAAGGCTGAAAAATTAAAATAATAATAAGGGCATTTGCCTCACAGAATGGTTATGAGGATAGGATAACGTGCAGTATCTGGTTCCACAGTCAGCATTTGGCTCGTATTTGCCAACTGAGTGCACGCACACATGTACATACTACACGCATGGATACTTGGCTACCCACACCCAACTGCATGGAACACACTCCAGCTGTCAGCCTCCTGTGTCCACACACGGACACTTTCCCCGGTGGCCCCAGAATCACCCCGACTCATCTCCTCCTTCAATCCTGGTTCTTTCAGCATTTATCCTTGGTCTTGTGCTAGAGATGTCTCCTCCTTCCCGTTCATCCAGATTGCAGCACATACACCTACTCATCTAGATATTTTTTTTTTTAAGATGGAGTCTCACTCTGTTGCCCAGGCTGGACTGCAATGGTGCGATCTCAGCTCACTGCAACCTCTGCCTCTCGGGTTCAAGCGATTCTCCTGTCTCAGCCTCCCCATTAGCTGCGATTACAGGCGCCCACCATCACACCTGGCTAGTTTTTGTGTTTTTAATAGAGACTGGGTTTCACCATGTTGGCCAGGCTGGTCTCGAACTCCGGACCTCAGGTGATCCACCCGCCTCAGCCTCCCAAAGTGCTGGGGGTACAGGCATGAGCTACCAGACCCAGCCTCATCTGTACATTTAAATAAGCTTTTACACAAAGCACACAGATAGTAACACCCAGAAGAGGCCATGTGCTAGACAGCCGGTATCATCTATGCACATAGAAAAGCCTCCAGGAAGCTAACCACCCCATCACACTCACCTTTTTACACATTTTCCACTGCTCACATTCCACCTTTCCAAGGCCCATTAAAAACCACAACCACACACCATCCATGCACTTCTCCCAGCATGGGGGACACCAAGTCTTTGCTCCATGAGCAGTGCTGTCCGTCACATCTTCCCCTTATTGGGTGCTACAAACTGATGTGCACCCTTGAGGTCATATGTGAAGCCCTAACCCCCAGGGTGACTGTGTTTGGAGACAAGGTTGGTAAGGAGGTAATTAAGGTTAAAGGGGTCATAAGGGTGGGACCCTGATCTGACAGGTGTGGTGTCCCTCTGGGAAGGGAGAGAGATCCCAGGAATGTGTGTGCACAGTGAAGAGGCCACATGAGGACACAGCAAGAAGAAGGCTGCCTGCCTTCTCCAGAAGAGGAGAGAGGCCTCAGAAGAACTCACCCTGCTGACACCTTGATCTTGGACTTCCAGCCTTCAGAACTCCAGAAAAATCAATGTCTGTGGTTGAGGCCACCCAGTCTGTGGGATTTTGTTATGGCAGCCCAAGCAAACTACAACAATGGGCCTCTTTTTTTACCCCTTAGTTTTAGATAAATACTGCCTTGCACTTACATTTTTTCCCTACAGAAACTCTATACAACTAATTAAGAAATAAAATCACAATTTGTATGCCAAAGGACAGGTTACAAGATATTTCCTTATTGCGTAAGCTAATGGATACTGACATCAACGCTACATCCTCATTTTCAGAAGAAAACCAGGAATTAAAAAAAAAAAATGGGTCTAGGATCTTGCCCGGGCTGCAAGGTGGGTGTCTGGTGGAGCTGGTGCTCTAGCCAAGACCCTTAGATCCCAGATTCCCATGCTATCCTTGCTGCACGTGTATCTTCCTGGGTCCTTCCAAGACACACATGAACAATTATTATGCGCAATTTTCACTTGCTCCTACCCTCCTCTAGCTCTTCATCTCTTTTGAAAGGGATGGGACCGTGCAAAAGGAGCCTGGGGAGTGGGCAGGCCTCCTGGAATATCCCTGGATTTTCCCTGAAAGGAAAAATCCCTGGTGGTCACTCACCACCAGGCACGCCCTGAGAATGCAGCGGTAGGAGGTCCTGGCGGTTCTGACCCCTTCTTTCAGAGGCTGCTCCATGCAGGCAAAGCACTGTGCGATGGCCTTTTCCAGCAGCTCAACCTTCTCTTCTGTGAATCTCCGCAGGTCACTCACATGCAAGTGTTCATTCTAGGGACAAAGACCACAAAGGCATCAGGCCACCCACTCCCTCAGAGCACCTTCTCCTCAAGCTTGGCTTCCTTTAAGCTTGTCACCAGCTCAAGATTCAGCTTGTCACTCAGAGCTGACCTCTCTTTATTGTCCCCACATGGCCTCCCTCAGTGCACAGAACCCCCTCGGCTTTGTGGGGTTACAGAACAGAACAAATACCTGCCTGGTGTGACTTGTTTCATTTCTTAAAAATCACAGTCTCTGCTTATTCAGCAACTTATTTCAGATGTATAATCCGTCAGGCTATTTGGGGAAGTAGCTATCCACACAGAAATCCAATTGTTATTAAAACAGATTTTTACAATGACATCTGATTCAATAAACATTTCCTTTGACTCTGCACCAAGCAGTTTTTACGGATAATACTTCTCAAATTTTAACATGCATACAAATCACCAGATCTTAAAATCCGAAATCCAAGGCCCTGGAATTCTGCATTTCTAGCTAGTCCCCAGGTAATGCTGGTCTCCCGGGCTATGGACCACACTTTGCATAGCAAAGCTACACAACCACAAAAATAAATCCATGCTTCCGTCTTCAAAGAACACAGTCTAATCAGGGAGAAAACATACATTCAAATAATACAAGGAAGTGACCACCAGAGAAAGCCTTGACCCCTAGGTGCCTGATAGGGTTTGCTGTGTGCCTACTCAGATATCATTTTGAATCGTAGCTCCTATAATTCCACATGTTGTGGGAGGGACCTGGTGGGAGATAACTGAATTATGGGGTTGGTTTCCCCCATACCATTCTCATGGTAGTGAATGAGTCTCACGAGTTCTGATGGTTTTACAAGGGGAAACCCCCTTTGCTTGGGTTTCATTTCCCTCTTGTCTGCCACCATATAAAACGTGCCTTTTGCCTTCGACCATGATTGTGAGGCCTCCCCAGCCACGAAGAACTGGGAATCCATTTAAACCTCTTTTTCTTGGTTGGGCATGGTGGCTCACCCCTGTAATCCCAGCACTTTGGGAGGCCAAGGCGGGCAGATCAAAAGGTCAGGAGCTCAAGACCAGCCTGGGCAATATGGTGAAACTCCATCTCTACTAAATATACAAAAAATAGCTGGGCATGGTGACAGTCACCTATAGTCCCAGCTACTCAGGAGGCTGAGGCAGGAGAATCACTTGAACCCAGGAGGTGGAGGTTGCAGTGAGCTGAGATTGCGCCATTGCACTCCAGCCTGGGCAACAAGAGCAAGACTCCTTTTCAAAAAACAACAACAAAAAAATTTCTTTTTCTCTGTAAATTACCCAGTCTTGCTTATGTCTACATAAGCAGCATGAAACTGGATGAATACAGTGGCAAACTGGGAACTCGTAGCCTTGTTCCCTGCCTGGAAGCCTCAGTGGACCCCACAGTGTCTGCAGCAGACAGGGCCACAGTCCCCAGGTTGGCCCTTAAGGCACTTCATAGCCAGAACTCACCCCACCTTGCCAGCACCACCGCCTGTTTGCCCGACATGTCCTGCCAAGTAGCTACCCCTGGACTTGCTGCCATTCTCCAAACATGCTGTCCATCTTGTGCCCTCTGGGCCTTGTTGATTTCATCTTTGTTACTGCAGAGACAAAGCTCAAAAGTCCTTCCCATGAGGCACCTTCCCTGAGTCCCCAGGTAGAAGTGGGGCTCCCTGTCCTGTGCTCCCACCACACTTCCCACAGTCCTGTGCCACAGCGTGTCTCCTGTCATATGACATCTCTTTCTTGTTCCCTATGTCTCCTTCCCTGGATAGGAGCTTGCCAGAGGAACAGGCTACTAGTCATTCATGCTCCTTTATTCCAGGGCACAGCACAGACAGCAAAACCCATAGACACCTGTGGATTGAATGAGTGGCCCAGAGAAACTGCTAGATAATTCAGGCTTTTAAATTCTATTCCAAATAGACAGAAATAGCTCTGCAATTGATGTGTGACCTGCTGTAGGTGATTTAACTTCTCTGGTTCTCAACTGTGTCATCTTTACAGTAAGTGAATTGGGTTGAATCATCTTGAAAACAACCCCCCACTCTGAAACACTGTGAATCTTGGAGTAAGTAAGTTTTAGAGTGTATGGAGGCTGTGTAGCATTTGGTGCACCCTGGCAATTTTCCTCATTCTCACCATTAAGAATTCTACGAGGCATATTTTTCCCCAGGGCATCCTTCAGATTCTTTTGAATTTGTGGTGTCGCCAATGATGAAAATGAAAGAAGAAAGAAGTCATGGAAAGAAAAGCTATGGGCATGATTCTCACAATGCCTCACTCTCGATAAATCTCTGTTGAATAAACAAAAGAATGGTAAGAATGGGAAGAGCTGAGAATATAAGAACAATAAGAAACAGAGAATCTGGCACTCAGTATGAATAAATGTTGACTTCATTTGACATTGAGATGTCATCATCAACTTACTCTGGATTCTTAAAAATAATGAGTGCTCCTTTAAAATCACTAACTATTCAAACTCTAAATGTTGGGTTTCAGTGACCATCCTTGAAAAAAATAATCAGTCACACACACAGTAGATTTGATTTTTGAGAATTCAAAGGAACTCACAATTCTTGCCTTCCAACTTTCTATCAAAGAGCTGAGAGTAAGACCAATATCTAAGGCCAAGGAATTTTGAGCAAAGTTGCCAGCAACTCCCTAACATAGCTATCACAGAAGTGCCAGCCAGCCCCTTGTCCTCTGTTTTCCAGTGCTTGGAGTCTGGCTGCAGAGGTGAATCTGAGCCTCTCTGAATGCTGCACTTCTATATCAGCAAAGAAAAGTATGTGGGGGGAGCACTTCTGGCCTTGATGGCAAAATGCCTTGTCCTTATGTCTGTGAAATACACCAACCACACACAGCCCCAAATCAGATTTATTTTCCATCAGCATTTCCAAAAGCAATCTTGTGCTGTGCAGACAGACAAATTTCACCCTGAAGAACTGTTTGGGGAAGTTGGAAGGTCAAACCCTTCCCCAATGATTTCAATGGACAAAAGTCAAATGAGAAAATCTCAGATTCCAAGATTTTTGTTTTGTTTTCTTCTTGTACAACTAGACCAAAACAAGCCACAAGAAATATGATTTTAAAAGACTGAATGTTGTTCTATATGCCCCTTTTATGCAGAAGAAAGGCCCCACACCACTAAAGACTTTATACAACCAAAGGCTCTGGGTGGCACTGCTTACTCCCACATGGAAGTCAGGTCTCGAGTATTTGCCTCCCTTGCCACCCTGCAGGGTCAGCCTTGGCCCACTTTCCCCATCTTCAGGACCAGCTCCCTGACCACTCACAGAGCCTTATTCATGTTCCTCTGCCCCTTCCCTGTTCCTGTATAACAAGAAGACAAACAACTGTGCACATCTGACGGGTGAAGGCAAGTGTAGAAATAAGCGAAGAGCAACCAGATGACAACAGGCAGAGGCTGTTTATTCAGAGCTCACTACAGCAAGGGATTCAGCCACCATCATTTGAATTTAGCAGATACTCAAAAGCATGTAGAGGAGTGGAAAAGCTTCATGGTGGACAAAAAAGGCTTTGGGGTGCCCTGATTGGAGGCTATTGGCCTGGGGACACTAGAGATGGGCTGGCTAAAAGCAGAGAGGTCAATGTCGTTGGTTAGGCATACCAAACACATTACCTGATTGGTAGTAAGTTGGAAGCAGGGACAGAGATTAGGGAAGTTATTCATCAAGTCCCGGCCATCTAGTGCTGATTGTTACAGTTATTCTTCAGCCTCCTGGGTTGTTATTAGAGATAGCAGTTTGACTTCCTGCAAGTCTGACTTACAGACAGAAGGCTTCCTGGGCTGTTTATTATAGATAAGAGGTTGGTTTCTGGCAGGCTGCTACACATTGTGGGTCAGAGATTTATTTTTACACATGGTCCAGCCATTGTCTTTGTATATTCTGTCTCTCATAAGGAGACAATACAGCTGGTGACTGATGACAGTAAGAGGATTTTCTCCAACCCCTACCCCCAAGTCTCTAATTTGGTAGTTTATCCCTCTGATTTTAGGGTTAAAAAGAAATCATCCATAAAAGAGATAAATATATCAATTGCTATGAGAAAAGTAATTGTAACTAGTTTTTCAGAATGCCTGCATTCTTGCCAGGGCAGATAAGTATCAAAACTCTACTGAAAGTCCCTCCTAGCTTCCATCCTCTCACATTATTTTACTGTGCTCCTCTGACCCTGAGATTCTGATAGCACCAGGGCACGCAGGAAATCTAGAGACAGATGGAACATTCTGGGGCTGTATACATAAACACACCTCTCCAGGAAAACCAACGAGTGTCTGCATTCCACTAGAAGCCAGCCAAATCACACCTGCCATCGCTTAAACACATTCTGCCTTGTTCAAGTCTCAGGAGGGATGGAAAATACCTACTATTTTGACATTTTCCTCTCAGTCCATCTGCCTCAGGTAAAATAGTATTTCTTTCTCTTTTACCCAAATGTGATGATTTTAACCTTCTAATTATCTTTTTGTCCTCTTAGACTCTCTGAACTTTGTATCTTCCTTTTATATGAAAAGAAAAAAATATCATAAGTTAATTTTCTAACTTGGTAAAAGGAAATGTTCTGCTCAGGCGGGAGAGAATACAAAAGCCCAGCGTATTCCATACCGGCAGCTTCTGCGTGGAGTTGAAACTATCCGTGAGGAGCAACAGGCCAAAGGCTTCGGTCACATACTTGGTCACTGTCCTCCTCTTCTTGTCCAAGAGCCTTTTCCTGATGTATTCTCTTAACTTAGGGATTTCTGGAATTCACAGGCAGCACAAACAATTGTAAAAGGCCAGAAGTGTGTGGTCAACAGAATCCATAAAAGTTGAAACATGAAGATGGCAGTCTGAATCAACTGGAGCTGAGATCCCCAGTGGGCTGGACGCCTACAGAAGCGACCTCTCTGAAAAGCACTTTTCCCATGTCTAGGATCAATGACAGTGATGAATGGTAGATCAGCAATGCTGCATATTCATTTTATTTAGCTGTATAAAAAAACTACATGGAAAAGTACAGGCTGGCTGAAAACACAGGCTCTTTCCTTTGGACACCTATCACCTGCAGAGGTAAACCAAAATGTTCACAATTCTAGAATCTCAGCCCTTTGCTCCCCCTAGATTTTTCTATCTATGGCAACTGACCATCGACACCAGAATAGCCCATGCTTGCTGTGGAAAGAAGCAAGAACCTCTGACATGTGTGTCACATCCTACCCGCTGTCAGTCAGAAGAAAATAGAGGCCACTCTACCCTTTTCCCCATTATTCTCATATGTGGCAATTTCTCTATTTTATTTCTTCCATATCCACGCTAATTTTTTTTTTTTTGAGATGGAATCTCACTCTGTCGCCAGGCTGGAGTGCAGTGGCGTGATCTCAGCTCTCTGCAACCTCTGCCTCCCAGGTTCAAGCAATTCTCCTGCCCCAGACTCCCAAGTAGCTAGGACTACAGGGGCACCACCATGCACAGCTAATTTTTGTGTTTTTAGTAAAGACGGGGTTTCACCATGTTGGCCAGGATGGTCTCAATCTCTTGGCCTCATGATCCACCCATCTTTGCCTCCCAAAATGCTGGGATTACAGGCAGGAGCCACTGCGCCCAGTCAATTTTGTCTTTTATACCCTTAATCAAGCAGTTCCCCCATCTCTGGGAACATTTCACAGTTTCTGCTCCCTACCTTCCATTCACATACCTACACGTCTAGTAAAATGCATGCACGTTGCAAGCCATGTCAAGTTCAGAAAAGAGTGCAGTCCTGACCCTGCCTGTTCACCCACTTTCCACTGAGCATCTAATGCACAGGGAGCACTAGATTCCGTGGGCTTCTATTGTACTCACAGTCAGCAACAACTAATTAAGCCTTATTTTCACTTCAATTTTTGCACTTCATTTTGCACATGACTCTTTCTTTGCACAGATTTCAAGTTCTGCAAAGAAAGAGTCATGCCTTATGCTTTCGCTGCCTCGCAGAAAAAATATACAATAGTCGCTCAGAAAATAATTCTAATGTCTGTAACTGGGTAGGAGAAAACTAAGGAAATGATAACCCAATTATTTGTTTTTGTGTTTTTGTTTTGTTTTGTTTTGTTTTTCTGAGACAGAGTTTCACTCTTGTTGCCCAGGCTGGAGTGCAATGGCACAATCTCGACTCACTGCAACCTCTGCCTCCTGGATTCAAGCAATTCTCCTGCCTCAGCCTCCCAAGTAGCTAAGATTACAGGTGCTCACCACCGTGCCCGGCTAATTTTGTATTTTTAGTAGAGACAGTGTTTTGCCATGTTGATCAGGCTGGTCTCGAACTCCTGACCTCAGGCAATCAACCCACCTTCACCTCCCAAAGTGCTGGAATTACAGGCATGAGCCACTGCACCCAGCAATCCAATTATTTGATCTTTGCCAACCCACAGTAAGATTTGGAGGCAAGAGGAATTGTGGTCTCTGGCACCACAACAATGCGGAGAGGAAAATAATCTTTATTTGCAATTGGTACCGAATCTGAGGCAAGCTGGAAAAAAAAAATGTTTGTGAGGCACAAGAAGTTCTAGAGAAGAAAATTCAAAGTGCCAAACTTGATCTTGAGAATTTTAGTGATGGAGATTAAAAAAACATAAATTACCAGTTTCCTCTTCAGTGAGGAGAGCCTGCTGCCAGTACTCCTGGGCGCTGACTGTATACACCAGATCTGAGGCTTCCAGAACCTTGAAGTCAGCCGGCAGTTTTCTCTGAAGTGAAAGAGTAACACAGAAAACAGAATAACTCAAACCACGGCAAAGGAAATCATGCACAGGAAATCATGCACAAGAGCCTTCAGCCAATTTCAGCTCACTCACTTCCAGTTCTCCACGAGCCCCACTGGGAACAGACAACGCTCTAAATGCCTGGTGTTGCCATCTGTCCACTCCTACCAAGGTCAGAAGTTATGAAAAACTGCTGTATAGAAACTATGCTCTTGGGAGTTAATATAAATTTTAGAAGAAAATGTGTAGAGACAATGGCTGAAAGGTGTATCTCAATGTTCAGAGGTGGAATAATTTCAGGATCCCTTCTCGAAAAAGAAGCACGTCTCTGGAATGGGCAGTGGTGTGCCGCAGCCAGCTTGTGCCAGCTCCTGAAAGCCGACAGCACACGTCCCTTCCCTACTCTGCATTCAGTGACGTCACTGGTAGCTTGAAATTGACAATGGTGGGACTGTCTCAGTCCTGAATCGCAAACCGATAACCCAAATCTATAACCACGTTGTAATCCCCAATCTTCAACCAAATAATTTCAGCTGACATGTGAGCACAGCTTGTCAATAGTAAGAGGCACATTTTCCCCCATTTAATATTTCTGAAATTGAGGTGCATTTTGCAACTGTGGTAGGCCAGGTGGCAGCCACAAGGTGGTTGTCACTGCCTGCAAGTTATGGGCTGCAATGTATCCCTTTCCAGAATTCACATGTTGAGGTCCTAACCACAGGAATTGGCAAATTGTATACATCGCCTTTTGTTTTTTTTTTTTTCATTTTGGGGGATTTTTTTTTTTCTTTTGACACAGAGTCAGCTCTGTCACCAGGCTGGAGTGTAATGGCCTGATCTTGGCTCACTACAACCTCCGCCCCCCAGGTTCAAGCAATTCTTCTGCCTCAGCCTCCTGAGTAGCTGGGATTACAGGCACGCGCTGCCACGCCCAGCGAATTTTTGTATTTTTAGTAGAGATGGGGTTTCACGATGTTGACCAGGACGGTCTCAATCTCCTGACCTTGTGATCCACCCGCCTCGGCCTCCCAAAGCTCTGGGATTACAGGCAGGAGCCACGGTGCCCAGCCCAGATTTTTTTTTTTTAAACAAAGAGCTCATTATTAAACATTTACAAGCACAACACAACACAAACTGGGCTAAGATCCTATAAAAGCAACAGTTGCTTAGCCAAGCAGTTAGTGATATATTTCAAATTATAAACATTTTAGTGCCAACTCATGTTGAAACAAATTATGATATTAAAGGTCAAGCAGTTAAGAATTACTCGACAAAGTCTTTTTTGGTGCTTAGAAAAATATTATCATGGGAGAATTGTACTAGCATTATACAGAAATCGTATTCCACATTCTTTCATTTTTTTCACTTAGAGAAAAAACATTCACATGTAGAATGTGCATGTGCTTATGTGAATATTTGAGGGAGGTAGAAAACAGTGGAGAGTTATAAATCTCTTTCTGATGCAAAGATACGAAAGAGCTGAGTGAGCAGAGGCCCTGCAGTCCACTGGGATTGGTGAGAAGCCGTGTCCCCGGCAAGCCATAAGCACCTGTAGTTAAGACTGGAATACAGATATCTGTGTAGACTGCCGGAAGCCCACTCCCACCCGCCCTTATAGAGTCGGCTGAAGTTGTATAAAGGATCTGCTGAGATTTTGCTTAGACAGAGTTTTCACTCTAGGAAGAAGTTGAGGGAAAGCTGAAACTATTTTTCTACTGGGAGATGAAATTAATGTCGAATTAAATTTAAGGAGGGTTTTTAAACAGTTCCAAGAAAGAAGTGTGCTTAGCTGCGTCTAGATGTTTGCATTATTTAAAATCTGAACCTAAATCTTGTATAACTTTTCTAAAAATTATTGAAGATTAGTTAACATTTATGTTTTTATTGTAGTAAAAACAAATGTTTTTCTAGTGTCAATGAAGTGACTAGCACAACGCGTTCATATTATTGTATAAGAGAAGTAGATTGGGAGGCCGAGGCGGGTGGATCATGAGGTCAAGAGATCGAGACCATCCTGGTCAACATGGTGAAACCCTGTCTCTACTGAAAATACAAAAATTCAGCAGGGCATGGTGGCGTGTGCCTGTAATCCCAGCCACTCGGGAGGCTGAGGCAGGAGAATCGCCTGGGCCCAGGAGGCGAAGGTTGCGGTGAGCCGAGATCGCGCCATTGCACTCCAGCCTGGGTAACAGGAGCGAAACTCCGTCTCAAAAAAACAAACAAAAAAAAAGAGAAGTAGAAACAGTTATGGCTGGAGGGTAGGATCCAAGATGGCAGCAGGTATTGATCAAATTACACCACAGAAAGATTAGACCCTGCTGTCATTTAAACACATGGCTTGTCATAACAAAACGTTACACAATATATTCAAGTTTGTAGAAAGATATTGCATATGAGATGATGTGGAAGCTGAAACAAGAAGGGAAGCCAGGTGTGGTGGCTCACACCTGTAGTCCCAACACTTTGGGAGGCCGAGGTGGGTGGATCACCTGAGGTCAGGAGTTCGAGACCAGCTTGGTCAACATGGTGAAACCCCAACCCTACTAAAAATACAAAAAATTAACCAGGCATGGAGGCCACACCTGGAATCCCAACTACTTGGGAGGCTGAGGCAGGAGAATTGCTTGAACCCAGGAGGCACAGGTTGCAGTGAGCCAAGACCACACCACTGCACTCCAGCCTGAGCAGCAGAGCCAGACTACACCTCAAAGAAAAAAAAAATCATGACCCAATTTTTTAAAAATCTACCCGAAATCAGTAACATAAATCATGACTCATTTTTTTAAATCTACCTTTTCTAGCTTTGTCATGAACATTATGTTGCAGTGATGTTGCTCTCCCACTGTCCTACTTGTATAAAATAATTTGATCTGTACCCCTAGAGCTCTTGCATTGTGGTTGTTGTTGTTAGAGACGGGGTTTCTCTCTATTGCCCAGGCTGGTCTTGAACTCCTGTCCTCAAACAATCCTTCCACCTCTGCCTCCCGAAGTGCTGAGATTACAGGTGTGAGCCACTGCTTCAGGCCCAATTTTTATTATTTTTAATATTATTCTCGCTAAAAGAAACCCCAGATTCCTGGAGAGTAGTTGGTCCATGTCTTGGGGCAGGGAAAAATAAAGTGGACCTGAATATCTTGTTGTGGCTAGATAGCAAGAATATTTTTTAAATGCTGACGGGAGTAATGCTAAACAGAGTCAGCTTAAAGGGCTCCCAGTAGCCAAAAAGTGACACACTAAGCATTAGAAAGAACACAATAGTTCTCATTATGATCCTTAAAACTGAGTACAATAAAAAAAAAAAGAAAGAAAAACACACACACACAAAAATGAAAAAAAA